CATAAATCACATAATGGATCATTTGATGCAGCCTTAGACGTGGCGACCGGAACAGGTCAAGTGACTCAAGTATTAGCCGATTCATTTAAAAAAGTTTATGGTGTAGATTCATCAGCGATAATGTTAGAAAATGCAGTTAAAAAATCAAATATTACATATTCGATCTCGATTGCTGAAAATCTCAATCAATTTGATGATTATTCAATTGATTTATTAACTGTCGCTGAGGCTGCTCATTGGTTTGATTTACCTAAATTTTTAGAGGGATCTTATCGTGTTCTTAAATTACCATCGTCACCATCCGGGGTGGTGGTACACTTGCAATTTGGGGTTATAGTTATAATCTTTTTGATAATTATCCAACTGCTTCGGAATTGTTGATTGATCATTATATAGATTTGATGGGTGATTATAAGGAGAAAGAAGGTAGATTGATACTTGAGAATTTATATAGAGGATTTGAGATTCCTGAACGTTTATTTAAAAATGTTAAATTTGAGGTTTACGATGGAACTAAAGAGAGTGAGCAATATCGTTTTATGGAAGCTGATTGGACAGTTTCTCAATATGAAAAATATTTAAAAGTAATTATTGTTTGATTCCTTTGACTTGTAATCATATAAATAAATAAAGCTGATTATTGTTATTATTATTTATGATTTTTAGACATGGAGCTGTCATAAGACATTTTCATTAAAATACCCAAATGCTGAGAACCCGGTTGATAAATTGATTGCAAGGATGAAAGAAGCAGAAGGTTGGGAAGATGATCAATTATTGAAGATTTATTGGCGTACAGCTCTTATCTTGGCTGAAAAGAATTAGAAATGAGTTTTTACTAATCAATATTAGTCAACTTCACATGTGATAAAAATATAAATAAAATAATTTATTGTAACAATTTTTTTGATTTGCTTTTGATTGATGACAAATGTAACCCTCAATAATGTGGCCTTTGAATTTCAATACTTTCTTGTTTCAAACTTTTTTAAAATAACCTACAAGATAATTGTAGTAATCGATCCAAAGTTATAAATTCAATAAGGGTCTAATTTTTTCTCTTTGGTTTTAGATGGTAAACCATCTTCAACAATGTCAAGTAATTTTATCTTTGTAATTATTAATAAGTGCTAAATCAGCTTTTTTTTTAGTAAGCAAAACATATTCCTCATAAAGCGCCTAACGGTTTACTAGTATACTAGACATATGTTTTCGTTATTCCGAATGGAATTCGACATTAATATCATTTCTCATTTTCGGTTCGTTTTTTTTTCGGAGCACACCAATTCCTCATGATGCTTTTTAACAAAATTTATCCATTTCTCTTCAATTTGTTTTCTTTCAATCCATTGTTCAAATGTTCCTTGACGATTATCACCACTCAATGACTTGCACTTTTGAATTTTGCGAACTAGCCTCAAACCATCATCAGTAT